TAAAATAAATATCTTGTGTCATCACTTACCCAATTTGGATAGGGGTGGCTTATCTAACGAGTTCACGGAGTTCACCCTTCACCGATTTCACGGTGAACTCCGTGAACTTTCTGATTCACGTATGTTCTCGGTGGGCGGGAACCGTTTTGGGACGACGACAATAGGGCACGTGACTATGTGCTCTGACATTGCACCTGCCACCGGCGCTAACCGTCTTTTCCGCTTCACTTGTTGTGTTCTTCGGGTGTCTTCCCCTGTCCTGATTCTTTAGGCGCATAATCCACTGCACCGGACGATAGCCGACAGTGATTGACAACTTAATGGGTAGCGGTGGACTGGGATTGACACGTTCAAGGAGGTTCAAGCCGTGTCGAGCCTGAGGACGCGCATGCACTTCAGATTCAATTTTTTGGGTGAATCGGCTGGACTCTCGACCGCCGTATTGTTCTTGCTATCTCTCGATTTCCGCTGACGGGATGTCCGCATGGCTTCAAATTGTTTTTGGAAAATTCGAAGTGCTCATGTTCGACTTGCTCGATATCACGGGCTGGCAGCGGCTGCTACAAGTCCTTGTCTTATTACGAACCTCCTTATCACTCACGTCAACCTGGTCTCGCTCGATTCAATGCAACTCCGGATTCAACGCGTTGTTTCCTATTAATAAAACTAGTACCCCACTCCCTCCTCTGCCCGCTTCACCGCGCTCTTTGTGAACTCGTCCAAATCCTCCTTCGGCAATCCAAGAATCTCGTTGTGCACCCCATGCCGCGCCTCATAGTTCCCGCATCCATCCGGGTAAAACCCCCGCGCGTAAAGCATCTTCGCGAAGCCAAGCCTGTCCCCCCCTTTCATCTGCGCCGCCCCCGCAGCGTACCGCGCTTCGTGCGCCTCGTGTTCAATCTTCCAATCGCTCTCCTTCGTCCCCGTCACCCGCAAGACGGACGCGAACATATCCTTCTGGTCGAGCAAAAAGGACGAGACGTAGAGCGGTTTGTTGCGGAACTGCGACAGCGTGGCGCTGGTGTCGCTGGGACCGTCTGGACGCACCTTGAGGCTCAGCAGTCGCGCCACCGCGAGCCCGGTCTGCGGAAAAGTGCTCGTGTTGATCTTCTGCGTCCCGTCGTCGATGAACGTCACTGTTCGGTTCTTCATGTCGAACCCGTAGAACTCGGGCCCGGCGGCGAGGCTGTATTCGTACCAGAAGCTGCAGGTGATGCAGATCCAGGCGCTCTTCCCGAGCTTCTCAATGCGCTCGCGGTCGGCTTGTTTGGGTGCGCCGATCATGATCTCGGCCTGCATCGCGTGCTCGGTGAGGTCGCCGCCGTATTCGTTGGGCAGGACCCACGGGACGCCGGCGGCGGCGGCAGCTTCGATGAGCTTGGCGGATTGGCCAGGCGGGGACATGACGCTCATAGTGATAATCAGCGCGTCCTGACCGCGGAGGGCGTCCACCAGCGACGCGGAATCCTCGTAGTCAACTTTCTTGACCTCGACGCCGGCGGGGAGCTGCGACGTGCTGTCGGCGCGGGTTATGGCGGTGATGTGGTGCTTTCCGGTCTTGAGCAGCGCGTCGACGATGTATGTGCCCATGCGACCGCCGGCCTGGGGGAATGTGAGCGACTCATTGTTGAATAGAAGAATATTTGAGCTTACGCCGACTATGGCGACTTTCTCGATGTAATTCTGGGATGTGGACATGTCGCGGGCTAGCACAACCCGGTAAGTATCCACTCGCAGGCAAACAAAGCACGGGCGTACCGTTGGGCGTGAAGGTTGGGTGCAACTTTCAAGTCGAAAACAGAAGCTTATGTATGATAGACGATCATTTATGCGCTGACGTCATAGTTGCTGACCGATACTTATGTGCCAGGGTGACGACTCTCGATGCCGAGGTAAAATCCTGGCGAATGATCCTGGCAAAGCGGCTTTCTCTGGTCAGCGGAAGAATATCCGGCGGAAGCATATCCGAACAGTCAGGAGCAACTTCAAATTTCCTCCGACGTTCAACTTGCATCAAATTTGCGTCGACTTGCGTTCAACCTGGTGTTCAACCGCCGGGCGTTTGCGAACACCGTGAGCAAGTACCATTCCCCCTTCGCCACCGCCCCCTGCGGAGCAGATGCCTCCCCGCCGCTTCGCTCTCCTCCTGATCAGCCCTTCCCGGACGCGGAGACCCGCCATTTCTCGCATTTTCAAGTTTATATATTACTTCGGACAAGGAATGTTTCGAAGTTGAGGAACACTAAAAATGAAGAATAAATGCCATCGGCTGGACGTGTCTAATGTCTGAGGGTGAAGAATTGAGAGAAAGGGGAAAAAGATACAGATGATAGAAGGTAAGAGGTCAGACGCGGGGAGTCGAACCCCGGTACCTCGCAGTACAGCACATGGGAGCACAATGAGAGGGAGGGTGTTCCTTACACCACGTCCGAGCTCTCTACTTAAATCAGCACCTTGTTGCACCATACAATTTCGAGGTTGAAGAATTGATAGATGAAAAAAGGATACGACAGGACCACCTATTCAGACGGGGGGAGTCGAACCCCGAAAACTCGCAGTCACTCTGGGACTCAAAGCAAAGAGAGCGAGGATGTTCCATTCACCACATCTGAGCCCTCCACTTAAATCTGCACCGTTCTAAACCATACATTTTCGAGGATGAGGAAGTGAGAGGAAAAAAGGGCGGCAAGGCTCATCATTCGGACGCGGGAGTCGAACCCCGAACACTCGCAGTAGAGTCATTTGGGCCTGCATAAATGGAGCGAGGGTGTTCCGTAGACCAACTCCGAGTCCTCTACTTAAATCTGCACAGAATTGAGAGAGGAAATAAAAAACTTGAATGAGCATCGGCTCATGATTTAGACGCGGGAAGGCGAACCCCGATTCCTCGGCGCCGTATTCGATCTGAACTCAAGGAAATGATTGGCAAGGGTGTTCCGTACACCACACCTGACCTCTTAAATCTGTACATGCTAAACCATACAGTTCTCGAGGTTGAAGAATTGATAGATGAAAAAAGCGTCGACGCAACCTGGACTATTCAGACGCGGGGAGTTGAACCGCGGTTCCTCGCGGTATATGACTTGGAGCTACCCAATGAGGGAGAACGAGGGTGCTCTGTACACCACGTCCGAGTCCTGTACTCATATCTGTACATTGCTAAACCGTACAGTTCTCGAGGTTGAAGAATTGATAGATGAAAAAACCGTCGACACAACCTCGAATATTCAGACGCGGGGAATTGAACCCCGGTTCCTCGCGGTATTGTGATTTTGAGCTACAGAATGAGGGAGAGCGAGAGTGTTCCGTACACCACGTCCGAGTGCTCTACTCATATTTGCACCATTCTAAACCATACAATTTCCGAGGGGGAAGGATGAAGAGAGGCAAAAAATCCAACAACGACCGAGTCATTCAAACGCGGGGAATCGAACTCCGGCGACTCGCTGCGAACACCTGAAAATAGGTCTTGCAGAGCGAAGGTGTTCTACACACCACGTCCGAGTCCTGAACCGTTATAAATCAGACATTTCCGACGCTGAGGAAGTGAGAGGGAAGAGAAAAACTCAGCAACGACATATTCAGACGCGGGGACTCGAACCCCGGGCACTCGCATTCGACTCATTGAGAGGTACGCGCACGGGGAGCGACGGTGTTCCGTACACCACGTTCGAGTCCTCTACTTAAATCTACACCTTGCTAAACCATTCAATTTTCGAGGTTGACGAATCGAAAGAGGAAAAACAATTGACAACCTTCATCATTCAGACGCGGAGAGTTGAACCCTGCTGTGTAGTACGCAGAGCAAGGGTGTTTTTTCCGTACACCACGTCCGAGGCCTATTTTTGTATCTGTCCCAGCACAAGATATCAATTTTCGAGGCTGAGGGAGGATAAAAAGAAAAAGGTTCAATCTGCCTTCAGCATTCGGACGCGGGGAGTCGAACCCCGGAAACTCGCAGTCTACTGGGACTCAGAGCAATGAGAGCGAGGGTGTTCCATACACCACGTCCGAGGCCTATTCCTGTATGTCCCAGCACAAGATATCAATTCTCGAGGCTGAAGAATTGAGAGAGAAAAAAGATCAGGACCGAGGAAGGGAGTCGAACCCCAGTTCCTCGCTGACCTCAAGATAGCCTGGCATGGAGAGCGAAAGTGTTCCGTACACCTCGTCGAGTCCTCTAGGAAACCTGCACCGTGTTAAACCATCCATTTTTGGAATTGAAGACTTGGGCGAAGAAAAAAAAAACGACAATGAGGACATGAGGATGGAGGAAATCAGACGCGGGGAGTCGAATCCCGGTTTCTCGTTGACCGAAAGGCGCCTTGACATTAAAACCGAGGGTACTCCGTACACCACGTCCGAGTCCTCTGCTCAAGTCTTCACCGTTCTAAACCATACGCTTTCCAGGGTGAAGAATTGAGAGGCAAAAAAAATCCAACAACCAAGTCATTCAGACGCGGGGAGTCGAGCCCCGGATCCTCGCGGTATATGAGATTGAGCTACACAATGAGGGAGAGCGAGGGTGTTCTGCGCACCCGTCCGAGTTCTCTACTAAGCCTGTACCTTGTTAAACCATCTATTTTTTGGACTTGAAGAATTGAGCGAGGAAAAAAAGATGTCAATGAGGACGGAAGAAATCAGACGCGGGGAGTCAAACCCCAGTGACTCGCATTCAACTCATCGAGGTGCACAAAGGGAGCGAGGGTGTTCCGTACACCACGTCCGAGTCCTCTACTTAAACATGTACCTGGCTAAACCATACACATTCGAGGGTGAAGAATTGCGTGAGGCAAAGAAAGTTGAGCAACGAGCCATAATTCAGACGCGGCGAGTCGAACCCCGATTCCTTGCCGTATTCGATCTGAACTCAAGGAAATGATTAGCAGGGGTGTTCCGTACACCACGTCTGAGTCCTCCACATAAATCTGCACCTTGCTAAACCATTCATTTTGGAGTTAAGAAGTGAGCGAGAGGAAAAAAGTCGGGCAACTCGGGTATTCAGACGCGGGGGGTCGAACCCCGGGCTCTCGCTGCAAGCATCGAAAGAAAGTCTGGGCATGATGAGCGAGGGTGTCCCGTACGCCACATCCGAGCTCTCTATCTTCCCGCGTATCAATGGAACTAGACCGCTCCGTGCGGGGAAAAGGGCGCGTGATACCCAAGAACATGACGGGGAAGGCGAGGAGGCACGAGATGCAAAAGGAAAGCATGGAACCGGCAGCAAAGGGTAATGAGGATAAAGCGAGGCCGCGAGAACAGCCAGTGGAGCGCGCGCACGGAAGACGAGAAGGCGGGGATTGGGGGGGGCACGATGCGGTGCGGGGCCGGGCGTGCCTGCTTGGGAACATGCAGAAGCCAAAATTTAAGGGAGCATGTATCGGGAACAGCCTGGGCCTTGAAAGCACTGTCGTAGCTCCCCAGAGTCCGACTAGGTCCGACTCGGAGTCGCCAGCGCGAACTTGTTGCAATATAACACGTTACTTCCCCGTCGTATAGCACGCAGATCATTACCATCTCTTAGCATTGTGCTTGCAGATCCGCAACGGCACACCCACGATGACGGAGAACAAGAGCGCGGAATACAAGAAAATACGCGAAGGCACAATGGAATTCAAACTCCGCAGATCACGTGCGTCCCATTGTTTCCTAATTTGGACGAGGGCGTGGCGGCCCTCTTCTGGAGAAGGACAATGCCTTCTGGCTTTGGCGCAACTGCTATAAAGCCGGCTGACATGCGGACGCTGCTTTACCGTCTTCCTCGCAGGACTTTACGACTGCCTCCATAACGAAGAGCGAGAGATCCTGCACTTGAAAACGCAGCTGGTCTTGATCCCTACGAAAACCTTTAACGACCCTTGACTAGCGTGATGAGCTGTGCGTTGTCTTCACCTTGCATTCAGAGTACAACTCACAGCCGGACAGTGTCCTCCTACATCAAGCGTCAATCGCGCACCCGCACACGAAAAAGCAGCATCTCGCTGGCCGCAATCGCGGAGGAGGTCGTAGAAGAGACGACCCCCACGCACAAGAAGAGCAAAAGCGTAAAAGCGAAACGGCGGCTAGGTGTCTCGGATCTGCGCATCCCTCGCGCCTCCCCGCTCTTCACCGCCGTGCAGGGGCCCGCCGTCTGGCGCCTTACCCTCGACGACTCGCCGGATACCTTCGATTTTCCGCGCCCGCCGTGCGACGAGTCCAGCGGCAGCGGGAGCGGTAGTGGGAGTGACTCGGGGAGCCTCTCGAGCCCCGCGACGACGCCTTCACCGAGCCCAACGATTGCAGCACATTCAGTGCCGTGCCTCGCGCGGTGCAAGAGCATTAAGCCGCTTGCTATTACCAAGCGCAACGTTTCGCCTCCTCCACCGCCTGCTGAGTCCCCAGTGCCGATTGAATCTACCCCAGAGCAGCAAGTGGAGGAACTCTGGGAGGACGACGACGACTTCTACGCCGCGCACGCAGGCACATTCATCACCCTCGCAGCGCCCCTCCCGCCATCCTTCCCTGCTTCCTCTTCCTTGACTCATGCGTCTACCTCCCGATCGCGCCGCGAGTCCGTCGTCCTCCCCGGCCCAGCACCAACACCCGCACTGCACCGCGCCTCCGTGCGCCTCAGCCGCGCGATCTCCATCCCCACGCGTCCGCCCCCGCCGCCTCCCATCGTCACTTCGCTTCCCCTTCCTTCTCTCTTCTCTATCGCCTCCCTCGCGGTACCGCCCTCGCGCCCGCCCCCGCGGACGCCCATCCCCACCGACGCGCAGAGCGGCGACTACACCCACCTCGCGCCTTCCCTTTCGCCGCTCCTCTCGCCTGGGCCTTTCTCCGCGCGTTCCGCGTCGCCTTCGCGTACGTCCCGCTCTCCTCCTGCCTTCTGTTCCCCGCTGATTGTTTGTGTTCTCTAGCGTCGCCCTCGTCTTCGCCAGCGTCCTCATCGTCGAGTTCGAGCTCGCGCCTCGCGGCCCTGCTCTCCCCACCGCCCTTCCGCGCGCATGTGCCCGCTGACGTCTCCGGCGACGAGTGGGAAGAATACGACGATGTCCCGCTCTCGCCACTCGTCGCGCCCGCCCCTGCTTCCTCCTCCTCTCCTTCGCCGATCGAGGACGGGGAATGCTCCCCGATTGAATACGCCGCCGCCGACGCTGATGAGAACGAGGATGAGCAGCCGGCATACTTCCCCCCTACGCCGCGGACCCCCTATCACCAGAGTGATCACGGGGAGCGCGCGCTCCGGTCGCGCTGGTCTTCCTCCACCCTCTCGTCCGTGCACTCCGCGCACGCGCACGTGCCGCGCTCGCCCAGGACATTCGCCTTCGCGCGGCGGTACTTCCCCTCCGCTTCGCCCACGAAGGCTGCGGTGAAGCCCATGTACCCTGCGCGCGTGGGGAAGAAGGCGGTGGGGAAGGGGAAGGGGAAACGCCTGACGGCGGCGGACGTGCGCGTCCTAGGCCTCGGCTCCGCGACTCCCTCCAGCTCCAGCTCCAGCTCGCCTGTATCTGCAGCCACCTCTACAGCTCCTACCTCCCCCTCCTCTTTCCTCGCCCTCCAAACGCCCGCGACTGCGCAGTTCGCCTCCTACCCCTACTCCCCCTCCCCCATGTCCCCACCCTCGGCCGCACTCTACGCAGCCTACACGACACAGCGCTCGCCACGCCGGCGTGCGTCCACGGCCTCCGCTTCCTCGCGCTCCTCGTCGCGCTCTTCATCGTCTGCGTGGCATTCCGGGCAGTCGGAGAGCGGGCACTCCGAGTTTAGCGTCGCAAGCGCAGGAGGGGAGGGCGGCCTGAGACGGAAGCCGATTCCGGTGGGGCTGTTTTTGCGATGATCTCTCTCGTCTTGCATTCGGCGGTGGTTTTTATTCGGTTCACACACAATCTTTTTCGATGCATATTTGTTTTTCGTCGCTCATTTTTGTATCATACACACACGCACATAACACTACTAGATAATGTAATATAGATGGAGAGCCCAGGTGCGCGCTCGTTGTAGCTATAATTTTGATTATTATTTTATTTGGACGTCGTGTGAAGTTATAAAGGATGAGGCGTTGGGCGGCACGAAGAGGCGGGGCGCTTGATGGGTTGATGGGCGCTTAAAGTTTGCTTTGCTCCATCATGACTCAATACTTATACAAACCAAGTGCAAAGCTCCACGCATCCTTCCACCAACGCACCGTGGCGCTTCCACGCTGTTTCCTGGGCTTTAAGTTGTGATTCGTCCTAGCATTCGGATTCTCTCTGATTCTCTGCATCTTATCCGCGACTTCGACGAATTCGCTACGCCCATTCTACGCCTCTTTGAACGTGAAGGAACTTCCTGTGCGGCTTGATCCTCGCCAAATTTGCGTTCAGATCGTGGTGTCTTCTTTGCGACTAGCCATCTCTCTAGTCCGACGTCGAGTCGGAATCTCGAGCTGAATCATGCCGGTATACGGCGCCACGGCTCTGTGGTGCTTTCCTCGCGGTTGTGGATTCTGGATCCTATCAATCTCAGACTGGGCATGGTCACCTGCAATGCCAGCCATTGACCGCCGAGCGCGGAGGAATGTAAGGTCGCAGCCTTTCTCCTTTCTTAAAGTTGTGGTTCCTTGCGAATCAAGACACTCCGGAGTCTCATATTTCCTCTGGTCCTACAATTCAAACAGAAAAAAACCATGGCACGAAATACGGAGTGATGCTACATACTGTGGCTCGAGGTATTCTCGACATATCCTACTTGGACGTTGATATTCTGGTTAACCTTAACTCGCCGCGCGCCGTAATCCCTCATTCTCGTTGGACTCGTTATTTAATTTTCGACTACTATACAGGCGAGGTTTCAGAAAATCTCCCCTCCCAAGCGTCGATCGGCGCGTTAATCTGGTCTTTGATAGTTGCCAACTCCAAGTCGGTTAAATCCGCACCACTGTCATTGCAAGGGATGTGTGTCGCAATCCGTTCCAGGATCTTGGCAGCCTCGGTCAACCCCTCGTCCCTTTCATCTAATGGTCGGCTCGAATGAATCTCCGCTCTGGTTTTCTCGGCGGCTTGAATAAGAGAATCTCTGAGGCGGACGGAGAGGGAGGATTTGAAATCTGGCGGAATTGGAATAACTTGTCCAGACATGTCGTAGTTATTGCGCAGGGCTGCCAATGCGGTGGACTTGGCCAGGCGACAGAACTGCTACAAGTCCCGTGATTGGATGATGTCGAATTCCTCCCAAGCCTTCGTCAACGCTTCGAAAATCAAAGCAAATGGGTCTCCTAAACCCCAAACCTGATCTACTTTGTTGTTCCCTGGTTTCAACCAGACCCGGACCAGAACGGTATTGAAAATATCCGTTGAGTTCCATTCGTCCTGCATGAATGCGGTGATCCAACCGGCGAGGTCATCGCGAACGATCGGCTCCCAGTGGGCTGTGTTTGAAAGGATTTCGCCCAGTTGAAAGTACCGCTCGCGTAACCACCGTTTCTGTGATTCTCTAGTGGCGAAACGTCCCAGAAGCTGCCACACAGACGGTTGTTGCATCATGATCTGCAGCTCGGCATCCTGGAACCAGGCCGGGGGCGCTGCATAAAAGGAGGAAAGCAATTTCTGCAATATTTCCAGGAGTGCTCAACGTCCACAGGATGACTCGTAGGGTTGCTTTCGGCGGGGCGACAGTGAGAGCTCCAGAATCGAGCCTCAAGGCATGTAAAAGACCATTGAGTGTGGAAGTCCTGTAATCCCAGTCATCTGGATTGACCCAGAATTGCTCGACGTGATTCAAGGCCGCGTGCACCCACTCCGTGTGGGTAGCTTCGGGTTGGAAACTGTCACCGATAAGTGCCCATGTCCCGTAATCCCCTCTGGCTAGCAGAAATGCTGATGACACTACGTCAAGCCATCCATCTGAACGGGGGATAGCACTGCAAAAGCCGATCACTTGTTTTATGCGTTCGTGTGTCGAGAAGCGGTCGTGGTATGGTTCGTTGTTTTCGATCCGGTCAGCCAATTGAGCGGTGAGCCGCAGGATTTCCCCTACAAGATTGCTGCTGAGATTCTTTTTGACAAGCTCTGAGGTGAGATTTCGTAAGAGGTTGGCGATGAACAGCGGTTGAAAATTCCTGGCAGGTTTGAGATT